TGGCACATGGAATGTACAGAGCATTAGCGGAAAGGTGGAAGAAGTCATCCAAGAATTTACTAAATTGAACATGGACATGATTATATTGACTGAAACAAAGAAGAAAGGTTGTGGTACAGAGATATTGAAGAACCATGTACATATATATATATATATATATATATATATATATATATATATATATATATATATATATATATATATATATATATATATAGCGAGGTTGAGAAACATCAGCGAGCAAAAAGAGGTGTATCCGTAATGATACATAAAAAACATCAACGCAAAATAACAGATTTTGAAGCCGGAGATGAAAATATCATAAGAATCAATATGACAATCAACCAAAAACCTGTCACTATTCTTGGAATATATGCAGTCTCTGATGATCAACCATATATTGCTAAAGACGAATTTTTTGAGAAAATCAATGACGAAATAACTAAAATTGGAAGTACTAGAGAAGTGATCATAGCAGGAGATCTAAATAGTAGAGTTGGACAGAAGGTAAACAACAAAGTGGCAGGTCCACATGGGGAAATAACCCTAAATGACAATGGTGAAAGATTATTTTAAGTATGCGAAAACCATCAGCTTAAAATTACAAACGGGTTTTTTAAACACAAGGATATACACAAATATACATGGATTCAGGTAACCAGAAATTTAAAATCGATCATAGATTACGTGATTACAAAACAAAATACAACATTACACGTAATAGATACAAGAGTATATAGAGGAGTATCATGCGACTCGGATCACTTTATGGTAAAGCCCGAAATAGTTTTTCCGTTTAGATTCAAGAAAACAAAAGAACCACCTGAAGACACAGAAATTTATAACTCGACAAAGTACAATCTGGACAGCTTACAACATGAAAGTACGAGAATACTATATCAACGAAGACTAAATGAAAAATTAGAAGATATAATCCAAAATGTATCCGTGGAAGAAGTATATAAAAATATAATAGACAGTATACAAAAAGCTGCGAAAGAAGCGCTTGGTTTAAAATCCGAACGACACAGTAAAAGGTATGGTGGACCGAAGACATAGAAAACCTAGTAATGGAGAAAAAGAAAGCGTACACACGGTGGCTAAGTACTAAACATCAAGTAGACGAAGACAAGTATTTGGACTTACGAAGAACAACAAGAAGAGCAGTAATAACAGCAAAAAACGAAATGTGGGATAGGACATGCCAAGAGATCAACACTTACATGGGCGGAAGTAAGTGTTCAGAGACATGGAAACTTTTAAACAAAATAAAGAACACAGAAAGAAATACTACTTCTATCCAGTTAATACCAACAGAAAAATGGAAAGAACACTACGAGAGTTTGCTAACAGAAAGTAGAGCAGAATATACCGCACAATCACCAAGGGAAGTATCAGTTGACGGCGAAGAGATAGTAGTGGGAGTTGATATACTGAAGAAAGCTGTAACTGAACTAAAAAATGGTAGAGCTCCAGGCCCAGAAAATATTTCAGCAGAATTAATACAATGTGGCACAGATAAACTATTTCTAGCACTTACTTGGTGTATGAACAAATATATAAACGGTGTCACACCACCCAGTTTATGGAAAGTAGCTTATATTTTTTCCATCCATAAAAAAGGAGATAAGTTGGATTGCTCAAATTACAGAGTAATATCGGTAACTAGTACACTAAGCCGGGTGTACGGACGCATTCTTAGAAATCCCATTGAGATGGAGTATAGGGAACAAGAAGAAGAAGAACAGGCTGGTTTCCGGCCTGGAAGAACTTGCACAGATAATGTCTTCTGCCTAAAACAACTAATTGAAAAAAAATTAGCAACCAATCAAGAGACCCATTTCATGTTTGTTGATCTTCGTAAAGCATACGACAGCATGCCTGTAACTAAATTGTGGAAGTCACTACAAGAAACTAACATTAGCTACACTTTAATCAAAGCCTTAAAAAATCTATATGAAAATTCTACATCACAAGTAAGAATTGGCAACACACTATCTAAAAAGTTCATCGTTAACAAGGGTCTGCGCTAGGGCTGCTGTATTTCACCAACGTTGTTCAAGATATATATTGCAAAAGCACTAAACCAGTGGAAACGTAAATGTCACGTATGGGTATAGACCTCGAAGATGTTTGTTTATAGACCTTACAATTTGCTGATGACCAAGTCATCATAGCCAATGATAAAGACGATTTAGAGTATATGGCAATAAAACTAAGGGAGGAATATGAACTGTGGGGATTGGAAATAAATGTAGAAAAAACTAAATACCTACCCATAGGAGCTAAGTTATCCAATATCGAACTAGAGAATAATGAAGAAATCACATCCTGTAGTGAATATACGTACCTGGGAGTAATCTTCGATAGAACGGGAAAAGACAATGAGGAAATAAAGAAAAGGGTTACACAAGCTAGAAGAACAATTGACTGCCTAAATGGAATACTTTGGAGCTCTGAAATAAGAATAAAGCTAAAATATAACAATCAAAAGACTGATATTTTTTGTACACACTTATGACAAGTCAAAAGAAAATGTAAAAGAGTATTTTTGAAGTGTGTATATTTTAAGCAATTCCTAGCTAAGCGCTTTCGGCTTTACAAAGCCATCATCAGAGCTATGCTACAATAAAATGTTCTTATAAGTACTAAAATTGGTGAAGATTATAATTTTTAACTTACGTCAATTTATAAATACCACTACAATGGAGAGATCTTATTTCCTTATATTTCAAAATTATGATTTTTTAGATATTGAAATTCTGTTTTTTAAGAATTTCAACATCTAAAAAATTTAGTGACCAACTTAGAAACATCTCTAATAATTCTATAAATAGCACTGTTCTGCATAATACCGTTCTTGAGAATACTATCACACATTACTCTTCCTTACCTTATTTCCCTCAAGTTACTGAGAAACTTATTAAATTGTATAAACAAAATAATATACCTGTTAAAATTGCTGTTAAGAATGAAAAAACTGTTAGAAATTTGTTCTCTAAAACTAAAACACCCTTGTCCACTTTGGAACAAGTGAACACAATTTATAAAATTCCATGCGCTAATTGCGATTTATGTTACATTGGTCAATCTGGTAGATCATTAAAAGGTCGTCTCACTTCACATCGTAGCGACATTAATTTATCGAAACACACTTGTGCTCTAGCACAACATGCGATAAATACAAAAACATGAAGTGGATTTTAATGAAGTTAAGATCCTTGCCACTGAACGCAATCTAGCTAAAAGACAGTTTTTGGAAATGTGTTCAATATTAAAACATCCTAATGCATTGAATAAGAGAACTGACATAAGTAACTTGAGCCAAATATATCATGCTTTAATTTTGCAGAATTAGGCTACTTAATCTTTTCACTACATTAATGTCATATAAGGTGTACTAGTTGAACTTTTTTCCATTTTTCATAAAACAATTTATATATATAAATAGAAATAAAATAAATAAATATATCAATAAAATAACTTAATATCTTTACTTAATTTTACTATTACATATGCAACCCATATTGCATTTCAATACACTAATTACTTTAATTAGTGTTTCAAATTTTATATTAAAATAATACAAATATTGTAATTGATTCATAGAATCCTTTGCAAATCACAGCTCCAAGTATATTAAACCTTGGGCTGTTTGGAAATTATAATATCGTTAACCACCTGGCTGTTTAACTAGCCATAATGATTAACGTCATTACATACTTATGAGGTTGAATGAAAATCTCCGGTTTGTAAATTTGGGCTGATTAGTGAGGGGAGTTGTGTTTACACTACCAACTTTTTTCACTGTTTTGTCCTTTGCAACCTGGTAGTCATCCAAACTCAGTTAAACTTAAATTAACCGCCCAAAATTTGGGTTGGTATTTACACCTTGTTGATCTGTCAAAAGTATTTTTGACCTCAAGGTTGGCTGTCTTTTTGCGGTTTAGTTCGTTCCTGTTTCATTAAACGCCATTTTCCCGGCGACATTCATAGGGCTTTGATCGGTAACTTCATATTTACTATTTTTTAGAATTTTATTAATATTACTTATAATGCTACCTAAAGTTAAAATCAAAGCTTAATATCCATTAAATAGTTGGAAGTTATTTATGATTTTCTTGGTTCTTACTCACTTATTAACATTAAATAACATTGAATTTACTTTAGACCACATGGTCAATTGCTGTGCTAATTTTTTACAAGTTCATATATGTTGTTAGTTGCTTAACTGTTTATACAAGATCAGCGTATTATGTCCATTTACTTAGTTTCATTCACATGTTTGTTAATAACATTGACTGCTACATATCTTTTTAAGGTAACAATTAACATCGTTTCCATGATTGTGTGGTTCTCATATTGTAATAATTTTTTAGATGAACTGATGATGCTTTCAAAACTCGAAAGCGAAACGTCTTCAAAATAGATAAAGTAGCCTATCAACTTTGTCTTTTATTTCTCCACCTAGAGACCGATATAAGAACCCACCACTCGTCTGAGTGATCCTTATATATATATATATATTATATATATATATTATATATATATATATATTATATATATATATATATATATATATACATATAGAAGAGAAAGAAGAATAAATTCAATGTTCGCCAGATATCCAGAAAAACGGCCAACTTATGAAAAAAAATATATTTTATGTTACAAATTTAACTATATTATATCTTGTCCGCCTTACTGACTGTACTTAAACAAGGTAAAATATTTTCTTTTTGGACTGAACATACTATTACAATTTTGTCTCCATTCTTAATGATCTACCCTGTATATTATTGTTTGAGAATTTAAGTTATTAGTGTGTATTAGTAAAAGTTTACTTATAAAAAATATTTTTAGATGCATTTTTTCGCCTACATTAAATAATAATATCGTTAATATTAATAGTTCATATTTTGTCAAAATCAACCAATAAAACTAAACATTTACGTAATTTTATCTTGACCTCACGAAGTTTATCAACTGTTCTCAAAAAATGTATGTAACCCAATTTGAACAAGTATTAGTAAACCAAAAGTGAAATCAAAATGATCCAGTTAGCTGGTAAACTTTTAATTTTTTTATTTGTGATACAAGGTGTGTATTCTTTTTGTGAGAACAAGGACGCGTTCAATAATGTAAGTGTAAATGTGCACTTATCGAGAAACGTAAGAGGTATCAAGCTTGTTCAAGTGAGTTTATATAAGCAAGACCACTATGCAATAATAGATGTTAAACAAGGTAATATTACAGACCTATGTGATGGTATTATTAAAAATTTTCCAGTACTAGAATCGCTGTTTTTAATCAACGTAAATATATCCAGAATTCAACCAAATGCTTTTCAAGCAGTGCCTAGATTAAGAGAATTATCTTTGGCTGTAAATAATATAGAAGATTTAGTGGATGGTAGTTTTAACAACCTCGATGCCCTAGAAACTCTGTACTTATCTGGAAACAAAATTAAATTCATTAGTGGAGAGACTTTCCAAAACATGAAAAGCTTAAAACACCTTCATCTAGACAGAAACCTAATATCCAGACTTGGTCCAAACTGCCTTAGGGGAAGTTCTCTATTAAGTGTATTAGACTTAAGACACAATGTAATGGAAGTTGTAGATGGCAATACCTTTCCCACTTTAGAACCAATCTTTACTGAACCAGTAACCATCTTTTTAGGAAACAACAATATCAAAGATGTAGATCCCAGTGTTTTTACCTTCAAGAATCCCATAAGGCTTCATTTAGAACGAAACAATCTAAACACGATATCTACGCTTTTCCATGGTATAAAAGATTTCAGTGTTATTTACTTAAATAAAAATCAATTCAACTGTTTACCTGACGATGTGTTGACAAATGTAAAGAAGACAACAAAGACTATATACCTTTTGGATAATCCTATATCATGTGATTGTCTGAAAACTATAGAGAACTCATTCGCCGATGAACTCTACGGGGTGGAACATTTGATTTATAATAGTACTTTTCCATGTGATATGCCAGTTTATCTAATCCCTTAAGCAGAAGTCTATAAAGTGTTAAATAAAATTAATTCGTATCTACCTATTCTTTTATTATTTTAGCTTTAATCTATAGTATATATATATATATATATATATATATATATATATATATATATATAATATATATATATATATATATATATATATATATATGTATTTAAAAGTTTATAAGAGTTGTTAATTACTATTTAACTGGGAATAAGCCACAATTAAAGATAAAAATACGTTTATTGACGTTTCAATTTCCACTTCGGAAATCGTTCTTCGGAGAACGATTTCCGAAGTGGAAATTGAAACGTCAATAAACGTATTTTTATCTTTAATTGTGGCTTATTTCCAGTTAAATAGTAATTAATTTACAATGCCACAAGAAAATAGCTTCAGAACAATATTTGTAAGTTGTGTTAAATTTTTTGTAAATTATTATTTCTAATGAAACTTTAAAACAATAAAAATTTATATTAACTTTGATATAGTTTTCATTACCCTAAGTTTTTAAATTATTCAGCTCAATTTTGTTTTTACATCATCTAACTGCTTTACATTATAGTAGACGTGACAGTTGCTATTTCTTTTTATTCATTTTTATTTACAGCTCCCCTAATTTTATAAAAGTACATTTGAAAATTATTGATGGAACAAATTTCATAGCAAAGGTCAATACAGGGTTGGTTAATAATTGATACCTTCTTATCTGAATTTTCACTTGACTTTAATATGACCACCTCGACAAACCTTAAATACAATACATCATAAAATGCATATGAGCAACTCCTAAGGGATTAAGCAATTACTGAACGCCTCAGTGACGAAGAACATAAACTGTATTTAATGTAAAAAAAAACGTATGTAAACGACAATGTAAATTGTCAATATTACGTACCCACATTAATTTTTATAAAAATATTGTTGTTTTTTGTATTGTGTTAAATTTAAGTAAAAAAGTTTTGAGATTTTAAGAATTCTATCAAGTCAGCTACGTATTTAGATTCTCCTAGAAGTTCTTTTAATGTTTTTTTTTTGACTGTGGTGATATAGTCCATCAACTGAGTACATTGGACAGTCAATCAAAATGTGCTTCACTGTCACTTTACATTCACAAACAAAACACACTGATTCCTCCTCTCACTTTAACAAGTATTCATGTGTTGTAGAAGTGTGTTCTAATCTGAGACGTGTTATTAGGACTTGATGTTGTCGCTTTAAAGGGCAGAAGTTCCATGGAAGGACAAAATATTTTATTTCTATCAATTTAGTGGTACTTCTATTCCAATTGTTTTGCCAAAAATCGTGCAATTTTGCTTTTAAGTAGGCTTTTAAATGCAAATACAGCGTTAGATTTTTCACTGATGCGGCTTTAGTGGTTACTGCGGACCTAGCAATACTATCTGCCTTTTCGTTACCATCTATTCCAACGTGTGACGGTACCCAGAGAACTCTATTGTCAAATTGTTTTGGTATATACGGTATAAAATTTTGCTGCGTATACACTGAAACAATTACAAGGATAATAGCAGCTCAACTAAATGTTCCACACGTAAGGGTTTGGAGGCGTTTGAATGATTAGCTACTTAAACTCTATCATTTAATAATCGTTCACGAGTTATTGGTTGAAGATTATCCTTCTTCTTCTTAAAGTGTCCTCTTTTCAATGGAGGTTGGCTACTACAATTTTAAACTCTTCTCTATCTTCAGCTGTTCTTATTAGCTGTTCAAAATTTAGCCCTGTCCATTGTCGGATTTTTCTGAGCCACGATAGTCTTTTCTTTCCTAGGCCTCTCTTTCACTCGATTTTTCTTTTCACTATAAGTTGGGCATATTGGTACTTATTATTTCTCAGTATGTGGCCTAGATATAATGTTTTTCTAACTTTTACTGTGTTAAAAAGTTCTCTTTCCTTTCCTATTCTATGCAGCACTTTTTCGTTTGAGGTATGCGGTGTCCATGAAATTTTGAGTATTCTCCGGTAGATCCACATTTCAAAGGCCTCCAATTTATTTACGGTTGATGTTTCAAAAGTCCACGTTTCAACTGCATATAGAAGAGTCGACCAGACGTAGCATTTTGATAAACGTAGTCGAATTACGAGTTTTATTAGAGAATCATAAAGCAGTTTTTTTTTATTTTTTTGAAAGATTTTCTGGCCTGTTCTATTCTCGATCTTATTTCTAGATCAGGATTTAGGCTGGTATCGATCCATTATCCCAGGTACTTAAATCTATTGACCTGTTCTAAAATGTGCCCATTTATTTTGCAAGGCTGAGGTACGTTTTGGTTTTTTCGGATTGACATCCCTTTGGTTTTTTTAATGTTTATTTTCATACCAAATTGCTCACAGGTCGAGTTTGTCGTGTCGATGAATCGTTGTAGACCTAAGTCAGTATCCGCATTTAACACTGTATCATCGGCGTATCTGATACTGTTGATATTTACGCCATTCACATTGACTCCATCCTTGGAATCCTGAAATGCTTCTTTAAATAGAAACTCCGAGTAAAGATTAAACAGCAGAGGCGACAGAACACATCCTTGTCTAACTCCCCTCCTAATTTCTACTTCTGCGGATGTGGAACCTTCGATCCTAACTCTGGCGTTTTGGTTCCAGTACAAGTTTTTTAAGAATTTGATGTCTTTTCCATCTAAACCGACTTCTTGCAAACGTTCTAATAGTAGGTCGTGCCTTACTCTGTCAAATGCTTTTTCGAAGTCTATAAAGCATATAAATATATATTTCTGTTGGTCGTAGCATTTTTGGGCGAGAACTAGTAAACTGAACAGGGCTTCTCTCGTTCCCATGCCGGCTCTGAATACAATCTGATCATCTCCGATGATTGTTTCGCACTTTCTATAGATACGATTATGTACGATTTTTAGTAGGACTTTTACTGCATGACTCATAAGGCTTATCAGACGGAACTCATTGCAGTGTTGTGGGTTTGGCTTTTTTGGTAGTGGGATGAATATTGAATCCAGCCAATCTTGGGGTATTTTCCTGTATCATAAATGCGATTGAATAAAAGGACAAATATTTCGATATTTTCTTCGCTGATAAAATTTTAAAGTTTCTGGATATATTCCGTCTGAACCTGGGTTTTTATTTGTTTTGAGATGATTTATTGCATGGAATAACAAACCATCATAACAAGCACATTTGGGCCGCCGACGAAAAGCCTCACGCCAAAAAAACGGCTAATCACCAAAGGACTTATACCGTTAATGCTTGGGCAGGAATAGTGGATAACAATCTAATAGGCCCAGTATTTCTTCCTAACAATTTAAATGATTATAATTATTTGCAGTTATTGGCAAACGATTTACAAGAGTATTTGGAGGAAGTGAATATTGCAATAAGGCAAAATATGTAGTTCTACAAGAAAGCGCTCCACCGCATTACAGTAATGTCCGGGAATACCTTTGCAGGCAGTATCCTGGTCGGTGGATTGGAAGGAATCGTGACGCAAATTATGAATAATAATATCGTTTTCTTATTTGACTTTCTGTTTCAGCTATTCCTCTATGGTTCGTTTTTCCTTCATGATAGTTTTTTATAATTTCTTTTTGCTGTTCTTCTAGGTTAACATCTTCCAATTAAAGATTACATTTTACTAAGTCGTATGCGTTGTTTTTAAAAGTTTTCCTAATAATTTCGCAAATCTCTGCAAAAATTTCTTCTTCTGTTTCAAATAAAATTGCATATTTCTTTTTCGGGTTGAGGTGTTCCTTAAACATTTTTACGGTATCAGCTTTTAACTGATCTTTCGATAGCTGGATATGATAACGTCTTTTATTCGGAAAGGTTTGTATAATTGCTGGAGGTCGTGGATTGTAGTTGACAAGTTTGACTATAATTTGGTTACTATAGAAGTTAAGTGGTTTTTCCGAAATAGGTATACCAAGAATTGGGTTTTCTACTGCTGTATGTATTGTTTCATTTCCGTCTTCGTCCATGTTTTGATTTTCGTTTTCAACAGTGTCGTCTGAGATGTTTTGATCTTCGTTTTCAACAGTAACAGTATCTTCTGGGATGTTTTCTGGAATTAATTCTGTTGCTTTTTCTTCTACAATCTCGTCGATTATTCGATCTGCATCTGGATTATCAGTCGTTGACCATCCATCGTCTTCCATGTCTACTAAATCATCAAAGACTTCCTTAATTTGTGAATCGATGTCCTTAGTTTCCTTTGTGTGTATTTCGATTCGAGACAGTGCGTCCGCATTTGTATTAGCTTTGCCTTTTTTGTAAATTACTTCGTAGTCAAATTCTTCTAATTTTAATCTCCAACGTACTAGTTTGGAGTTAGGTTCCTTTGGGGAAAATAGATATTGCAAAGGACGGTGATCTGAGAGTATTTTAAATTTTCTTCCAAATAGGTAGGGTCGGAAATATTTAGTTGCCCACACCATTGCTAACAATTCCTTTTCTATTGTGGAGTATTTGGTTTCGGTTTCATTTAGTGTTCTGGAAGCAAAGGCAATTGGTTTATCACTGCCAACTGGTCCTTGGGAAAGTACTGCACCAATAGCGAAGTTGCTGGCATCTGTTGTGAGGTTAAACGGTTTGGAAAAATCTGGATATTGCAATAACGGTTCATTCATTAATAATTTCCTGCACGTTTCAAAGCATTCTACGAATTCGGGTGTATGTTCGATTTTTGCATCCTTTTTCAAGCATCTTGTTAGAGGTTTTGTGATTTTTGCGAAGTCTCGTATAAACTTTCTGTAGTATCCTAGTAGTCCAAGAAATCCTCTTATTTCTTTTGCTGTTTTCGGTATTGGATATTTTTCTATTGCTTCAATTTTTGCTGGATTCGGTTTTATGCCTTCTTGTGTGACTACGTGTCCCAGAAAATTAACTTGCTTTTTTAAGAATTCGCATTTGTCGACTTGGATTTTTAGTCGGGCTTCTCTTAATCGTTGAAATACTTTTGAGAGATTTACTATGTGTTCCTGTAGTGATGTTGAATAAACTATTACGTCATCCATATAGACGAGGCATATTTCTCCTTGAAGTCCTTTCAATACGTTGTCCATCAT